CTTATGTTAATTATTGCAATTAACGCATAATGGTATTAGATAATAATAGTGTAGTAAATTTATATATATATATACATATACAAATCTACTTTTACTACTTTACTTATTCATGTATGCATGTTTAAGAAATTCATTATATTTGATGCGATTGAAGAATTGAAATTATTTTAATTATTCTAAAAAATGATCTTATTTATTTTTCTAATAATTTATTTTTATCTAAAGTTAACATATGATTGCAATGTCGTATGATATGTGAGATAATAATATTAAAAAAGTATATATATATATAGAAACTATATATATATATAAGTGTAAATCTATATAAAGGCAAAGGCATAATTAGTCGGAAGGAAGATAAGAGAGGTTTAAAATGTTAAGAAAATGCGATATCTCGATGAATATTAAAGCTTCGTGTTAGTCAGCTTGGCGCCGCCTCTCTCGATAGGGGGTCATCGCCAGGGACGTGACATAATACGAATCAACATAACGTGCTCACGGACTCATTAAAGATAACGAGAACGGAACGAATGACCGAATGAATCATCCTACTCGCGTTCTTCCTACGATCCTATAATAAATATCCTCCGGTATATTTTATATGCATCTTTTTAATTACGAAATCTAACATAAGATACAATTTACTTACATACATGCGTATATATATATATCAAAGACGTTATTATTTTAAATAATCCACGTCTGAATTTTTTTCCTTTTCAAAAGAATATTTCCCACAAATTGTTATACTACTTAAACTTTGAATAGTTTCGCATCGTTTTAAAATAGAAAATATAAAACATTGTGTCTAATGTAAATGAGAAGATTAATGAAGTAGAAACATGTATAATACGTAAAAAAAGAACACGTCTGGTTAGAACCTGAGAAGAATAACGATGGAAAAGGGTAGGGAAGGGAAGGGAGAAGAGCTAATCGAAAGAAAAACAGTCTCTCGATCGTTTGTTTTGTTTATACATGTGTACTTACGTCAATCCTCACCTGACGTCTATATTTGAACGTTATTGTTTTTTTTTCTATTAAGAATCTCGTCATCGAACTTACAAACACATTGATCTTCGCGCGTGTTCGTTGGAAAGGTTATTCGGTGTCTATCCCAGTATACTGCGTAACTGTTTTCATATACATTGTCAGTCTTATTCTAACGTTGGGAGATGTAAAAACGATATTAGATAATTATCTAATTAATTTTTTGTATAAATGAAATTGATTGTTGTTATGCAAATAATATGCATATGTGAGAGAGTGTGTATATTACTGGTGAGTAATATATATATATCAATACGTGCATATATGTAACACGTTAAATTATATAATTCAGTTAAATCGTAGAAGCCTTCAATTTTACTCGAATTAATTAGGAATTAATAATATTCGGAATGTACGATATTAATATACAATTTCACGACGACATATATATATGTATTATTTATTTTTACATAAACATATCTTAGAATTTTTGTGTGTATTTATGTATGCACGCATGTGTATATGTATGAACGTATTTGGTATATTATTTCTATACGTGCATATGTTCAGTATACGTGTTCAGATTATTTGGGTATCTATGTGTATATGTATTATTTGTTGGCGTACTGTATTTGCATGTATGTTGGTATATATGTGTGGTCTATTATAATTGTGAAACGATGCGTGACATTCTCTCAATACGAATGTATAATATTATACAATACTAAAGGATTACGTATAAATTCTCTGACGTGTCATATAACTGCTTATTTTTCTTATCACGGCAGCCACATCGATATTGAATAATCGAAATATTTATATACGTTTGCTGTGTATACAGCAAGTTTTCAACAGATTTTCCGATGGGATCAAACACAAATGCCAGGCACTCGGTTTTTTTTCTTATACTTGGTGACACAGAGTATTGCAAGTCTGATATTTTTTTTATATCTATTATATCTTTCAACGTGTGTTAAGGGGTTCGTCGTCTCTTATTGGATTTGAGAAATATTTTTTAAAAACCTTAGGGATATATCATTGATAACTGTTCTTATTATTATGTGTGCTATTTCAATTGATGATGATCATTTGCGAGAACAGTAATAAAAATTGGAGAATTTTTGTATCGAATTTTTACACGATTTTTAATTATATTTCATAATATTTAACAAAATTTTGTTAAATTTATATATTGTCAAAATTTGTTATCTCTGATTTCTATCATTTTATAATATTAGAAATATTATTTTTCTATGTTCGGAATGTATAAATTGTCTTAATAAATGATCAATTCTAAATAATCGATACGTAAATAGTTAAACAAATTCGTGGTCAAAATGAAGTCAATGTTAATTTATGTCATTTATTGTACACTAGAAATTATGTAACAATTTAATAGAAGTTACATCAATTTGTTACTAATTTTTAATCCAAATTTCGATCTATCGTCTCATCATAAAAATCTATTTATTTTAATTCATTCTCTACACCTTCTCACTAACAAACATTACACGTACACACACACACGTATACTCATTTATAAATATACTTCATTTCCAAATAAAAATCTTATATCGATTCTAATTGTACCGATATATAATGATATGACAATGAATTATAAGTGAAAAAAAGAAAAAAAGAACAAATCAATTTGTTATGATTAACTTTATATCGTCTCTATCAATCTCCCATTGAAAGTATTAATTAATATGACATTAAAATGATTAATATATTTATTAAATATAAATCATGAAAAATAAATGAATAAACACAAAATATATATCATAATTATCAATACAATTATCTAATCGTTTAACTCACACACACACATGCCGATCAGTAAAATAATATTTTTATATCAACAACAACACACGTATAAAACATAATTCTATGTACTCATTGTTAGACTCTTTTCTAACATATGGAAGATAATATAGTTGTATTGGTACGATATGGAATCGGGTAAATGGTTTAAAGCGTTTGTCGTTTGCGCGCGCGTAACCTAAGCACGATTCGATTCATTCATTCTCTATCTCGGTCTTTCATTCGGTCGTTCATTGACCGAACAGCACGACAAACCAACCAACCACGTGCCTTGCGCTAACACGGAGGATAATCTACGCGGCCTTGCAAGTACGAACGCGAGCCACCGGCACAATAGTACGTGTGTCACCCACACATAACACACATAAACACAACACACTAACGTAGAGACATTAAACATGAAAACGATCAGGCTTCTACACAGACACGTACACGAGGTCTATGTATTCTTCGGGAAACTAATCGGCTGATCGACCAACCTGAATTATAATGATCGACTTCGCGTAACTGCTATCTAAGCATTGCGATCATCGTTTTACGACACTCTAATGTACAAGGACGCTCGTGCACGTACGTTTATCTATATGTATGTTCACATGTGTGTGTGTTTTCTGTTAAACACACAAATAGATAATTACATGGATTGTAAATATTTCGGAATATTCTAGGAAATATATGTGTATTGTAAATGTGTGTGTGTGTATATATATATTGTCTTTAGTAAATATTTAAAAATTAAACAATATATCGAATCTCGCGATGAGTTGAACATAATATTTCAACATTTGTTTAAATTGTTTAACACAATAAGTATTTATTACGATATATTATTATTGTTTATATATTATTAGTTAATTAATTAAAATTACTTGGACAAATAACAACAAATATTTTCGCCATCGATTGGTCCCTTGATACCATTTTAATTGCATATGAAATATTTCATTTTTATTGCTATCATTTTAATGAACAAATATAGTTACCGGTTACCTTACTTATAATTTGACTAGACTGTGATCAGGAAAATTGTGAATTTGTTATGGTTTAAAGATTCTTTTCGACTAGACATTATTTTCACGATATGTATAATGTAACGGGTAGAGGCCTTGACGTGTGTATCATAAAATCCCATTATCTCATTCGTGAGATTCCAATATAATTAACTGTTCGACTAGATATCTCATTTCAAATAGGTAATAATAAACTTTTCATTATCTTTGTGTTGGATTTGAAAAGTAAAAATAAACGAACGAATGAATGAACGAATGAATAAATAAATAAGGAAGTGTGAAAGATACGTGCGATAGTGTTTGACAACGGTGATAAAAAATGATTTATTCATACTTATGTTATATACTTAAATAATACATGTAAATCTATAATACATAAATGTAAAATTGAGCTTATTATTATAAATTCTATTTTGTTTTCGTCTGAAATTGGATACGGTTAGTTTATAAACATTGAAACAAATGTTAATTGGAATATTTTGGATCAATGATCGATGATCTATTGATGAGAGTAGATAAATATTGAAATATTCAGATTTGCGGTAGGGAGAAATGGGTAGGGGGAGGCGGAGGGGGAAGGGGAAGGGGGAGGGGGAGGTGAGTTTATTTCCATGATTTAATGCATAATGAACGCGCGTGCGTGTTCGGTTGAATTTTGTGAGTGGCTCGTCGTCAGGGTTGCATAAGGCTTTTGTAAAAATATGTTAATATGAATATGAACAGGTCACCTAACTATAGTTACGTAACATTTCCAGCAACACCGGTTGCTTACTTTCTCGTATACGTTCACTCCGTTCACTTGCCGACGCGGAAAAAGACATTGAAACTGAACAAGAAAGGTACAAAATCTTTACCTTTTCTCGAACGCTATTAATATTTATACACCTAACTGCCAAATTCAGGAATAGGAGAAACTTTGATCTCTTATTTGAGATTTTTGATAAGTTTCTTCTCTTTTACAATCACTGAGATATCCTTGGGAACTAATAACACGTTTGGATTTCAGATTTTTTCAACAATTTCTTATAATTTGTAATTATTTGATTTTATTTCTTTATCATTGTAATATAATATTATGATTTTGTAAATAAAAATTTTAATATATATATATTAATATTATAATTAATGAATGAATGAATTCTGTAAATATTAAATATTATATAAATTATATGTGTATACACATATATATTAAATGTTCGGAAATAAATTTCGTTTTTCGCATAGGGCTTTCGTTAGTCGTATTTACCGATATCTGACTTTACTCTAAATCTCAAAATCATTTACCATTTAATAGAATAAACATTTAACAATCATTTGACATAACAAAATGATATATAGTTTACGGAGAGGATTTGTTAAACGAATGTTAAAATTAAAATTGTTTTTAGTAATTTCGAATTAAAAAGTGCATTATTATTCGACCGGTTGATTAAATAAAAGCTCTCGATGGATGCTAATCTTCGAATAATAACACGAGAAATAGAAAACTTTCTTTTAGGCTAACAGATTATCGCACAAACGTTTCAAAGAACTTACATTAGAAACTTTTGTTATAATCCCCCCCCCCAAAAAAAAATTAATATTTAAATCATTGAATAACTTTCGGACAATTTGTCAGTTTTTAATGCAATTTTGCGGAATCGATTGTTAATCATATAATCGATTTTCAAAGGATTCACTTATTTTTTTTAAACTATAAATCGAAATATACATTGGAAAAAAAAAAAGAAGTTTGAATTTAATAAGTACAACGATTCGAAATCCGGTTTGGAGCATGATTTCCGAGTTATCTTACATAACGATTAATTACATTCTTTTTAATCTTATACGGTAAGGATAATTATGATACATGATATACGTTTCTTATCTTAAAAGACTGAGCTCGGGTTTGATTTATTCAGTATCGAGTTGAGCTCGTAGCTTCGAGTTTCATTTCGATCGAAGATGAATTAATCATTTATCATTTTTTTTTTTGTTTTTTAATCTTTCTCAGAGATATTACAATCTACGAGAAGTTATATTGGAATATTTAAATAAATTTGTTCTATTTCATTAATATATAGAAATATGACGAAAAGAAAAAAAAAGTTTCAATTAATTATAAACAACATAGCTCGTAATATCAATTCGCCAATATCATAATTTATTATTATCCGAAGTAAATAAAAAGATAAATCTTAGAATCATAAGGAAAAAAAAAAAAGTAGGATCAAATAAATCTGCGACACCAGATACACCTGTGTAATATTACATATATCACATTTGTAATATCATAGTTTGTAATATCCGAGTATTAGAACGTAGTAGTTGATGAGTAGTATAACACCGAACCAATAAACAATTCACACTTACTATCAAAAATAGAAAATCTATGTGAGAGTATTATAAAAATTACTTTTCCTTTTCTTTTTTCAAGAATCAAATGGTGAATTTGCATTAGAAGTTAAAATATCAAAT